GCTTCTGTTAAGTTTATGGACGAAGTAATGGAGTTTTACTCCAGTCATTGTGAAGAAATCCAATTGAAACCACTAGAACCAGCTGTTTTTGGCCTCTAATTAAAAGAGCATTTCCAACTATAGAGAAATTTAGAGAAGTCCCCGGTAACAATCAACTGCAGCCCTCCAAATGGCTCGTTGTTTTGTTTTATGCCGCGAGCGACGTATTCAATCTTTTCAAGTAGATCAGCTCCGACTTGATATCTCATCTATGATTAGGCAGCGGCACTTGTCGATCCGGCTTTTGGCACCTTCATTAGCTTTTACTGCAGTTAGAAGTTCATGGGAAGATTTCTTCCCAGTTCCGATACCAAAAAATTGTCATTTCGCCGCACTTTTTTGCCGCAGGCAAAAAACAACAACAAAACACACGTCATTTTAAATTTTAAATGCAAATTTTAATAATTATCTCATTAATTATGCAAACTTACGGTAATGTATTTTTGAACGATACACAGATGTCCAAAAACACCGTGATGAGCATGTGAGATGACCATTGGAACATTGCCTGGGGTTCATTGGCCGAGACCTGATCACATGACCTGAGTTTCACTTCCCGTGTATATTTATACCAAAGCCAACCAAAGCGCGACAACTGCTAGAACGGTCTTCCTGTGTCAAATTACGCCATCACCACAGGAAACTAAACATTCCAAAACGCATTTGCCGTGCTCCCTTGGATGGTTTATCTTTTTTTTTTAGGAGGCTCGAAACGGTTTTTCTTGAGCGCGCGCGCGCTCTAGATCCAATCACGTAGAATTTGCAAAAGGGAAATTTTGCCCTCAAAAATTTTAATATTCAAACTGAAAAAAAAATCAAAAACTGAACGGTGAAGTTTCTTCAAATTTTGCATATGGCTTTAGTTTATGTTTTCGAAAACTTAAGGAAAAATTTAAAAAATCCTGTAAGAGGAAACTATCCCAAACAAATCTTATCGATTTTTACGAATTCTCTCTTACAGAATTTTTTCTTTTTTCTTCAAAACAAAGATCATGATACAAAGTTTAAATATTCTTGTTTCTAAAAATTTCACCATTTGGTTCATGAGTTATGATTTTTTAAATGAATATTTTTGATGGCATGCCAAGGGTTCTAATGTTGTCATAGCAACGTCTTACGTCATTTTTTCATGTTAATTTTGATCTTTGGTTTATGGTCTTTGGCTTTCCAGGTTTACTTGCTGTCATATTTATAACCGTATCAATTTTTTCTAGTTCATAATTGTGACTGTATGTGAGGGCATAAAACACTTTCCAGCCTCCTTAAGTTTGGTGCCCCGCTATGAATGTTATGTTATGTTACGTTACGTTACGTTCGGAGCCCCATGCTTTAAAAAAAAAGATAAACCATCGAGTTGATTTTTCATGGCTTGGCTGACGTCACTTCCGTCCGTATGTCCGTCTGTCCGTCCGTCCGTCCGTCCCTGTACAAAACACAGGAATACCGCTTGATGTCAAAGCAAAACTACTCACAAATG